AAGGTTGATCAGTGATTTGTGGAGGGATCAGAGCATTGAGTTGACCGTCTCGTGGAGAGGAAGTGCAGAAATATTAATCTGATGTAAAATTTTCTGATTGACTCCCCAAAATGCAGGCTAATCCACTTTTTTTCCTAATCCTGGTTAACAAACCTGCCTTCGGTCTGATGAAAAAATCTGCACTGCTTTAGCAGCGCCTTATTTGTGGTGCTTCCCGTGAGTAATTGCAAAAAATCTGATAGTATTAGTCAGATATCGGTAAAGTTTTACTGCTAAGATAAAGGAAAAGCACATATTTCGAAATGCATGATGATAAACTATAAAATACTGCGCAAATTAACTGAAAAGTAGCGGAAGTGGACAGCAAAGTGGTATTTGGATCCCAGCAAATCCTAAAGATATATGCTTGTATACGTCAAGTAATTGTGAAAAGGTCACTTTTATACAACTTCTAATTTAATAGGATGGTTGCGCGTTGCTATTAGTTCAGCTAAAGCCTTAATCTCCACGGTGTTGGAATGGTACCCTACTCGTGGCACCTATGGCTCCAGTACTCCAGGTCTTCATTGCATCGACATGAAAGCTAATTCTACACTCCTATGTCTTATAATGCCGTTAAGAGTAACGCAAACAATTAAAAGGGAAGTTAAAAACGGTCTGTTTTGATGCTACTTAATATTATTACATCAATTCCCCAATAAAATTTAGAATGAGACCCATAAGTGGGAAGCTCTTAGCTTTACTAAACAAAATACTTAATGTCGACGTGAATTTTATTCAGGAAAGGGGTTAACCAGTGGAAAAAATATATTTTAAGATCGCCACCTGAAGCATCATTTACCAATGGCTACATCTAGAATGAATTGGCCATTAAATTAAGATCAAGATAAGATAATTCTATCTTCTGCAACCCTCTATATACGATGGGATGAACCTACAATCTATGACAGCCTTACCACTTAATTGTCATATCTCTGTGATCATGTGCCATAAAACTTAAGGATTATCCTTCACAAAGTATCTTCTTTACAAAACATTACTTACCAATCATCTGTATCACTTTACAATTCTGATGCCAGCGGTAAAAGTGCAGCCAGTGATGTCTGTCAATTCGTGGCGCCGTTTGTAAATGGACCGTCCCGAATACCATCCACTTTCGGCTTTTGCTCCCATTATGCTGGTCAACACATGATTTGCAGACAGTCCAGCACTAGGTCACTTTTATTTACCCCACACACAAATCCGTCCCTCATTTGGGAAATTTATCACATCTCATCACAAAGTAAGCCAACTTCGTGTCGTGTTATAAACAAGTTGTACTAGTAAAAGATAAGACATTTCTGTTCATTGTACCTTTTCACCTTATTGAGGAAGTAGAAGGACAAATAAAGGCTATGCACAAATGGTTTTGCGCGCAACTTTTGGAAATATTTATGATTAATACATTTCTGGCGTTAAACACCTCGTCCTATGAATGCGCTTTATCTTCTCAAGTTCGAAAGAGCTGGCCTAAGCAGTACGAAATTGACTACACATAACAAATTGTCATAGATACTGATAAAAGTTACTAAAATGTTTGTTCATTTTAACTTAGCCACGAAATGGGCAAAGTATCTATCTAACCCTTGATGCGCTTCTGTTAAATGGTTAAATCTAGGGAAGAAGACTACGTGTTCATTTGCGCTTTGGAAGGTAACCGCTTCCATGATCAACCGAGCGGTAGAATGCTAATTTCTATCATCGAAAAAAACATGAGGTTACTGCAAGGCGTTAGTTGTTTAACTTTCAGTTTTGGTAAATGGATTACTTATGTGCTCTGCCATTGTACTTCCGTTGCGATATGGCCTTCGGGCCGTGCCGGTAGTCCTTAGCCTTACTGTAATTGCAATATATGTACATATACTGCCCAAGTATTATGTCTTCGTTCTTCTTCAGAGAAGTCTCGGGGCCCTAAAGTTATAACAATTTTAAGTAATTCTCTTGTCATCACCTCCCTTACCCATTCCAGTTAACCTGTCTTACCGCCTGCTTCATAACAATAAAGTAGTTTGGAGCGACACTAAGAAGTTTGCTTACATGTTACTGGTACATTCTAAATTTCCCATGGTGTAAAAAACTTTTACCACCATGGTGACTGCTGAAAATGATTTAGTGGTTGTATGCCATCTGCCAATCCATTGGATAATAGGCAATGCGACTTCAATATTTTATAAGCTTGAGTATATTTAAGGGTGTCGCGGAAATGCAAATGTCCATCTTCGCTGATTGCTCGGTAAAAGAAAAAAGGAAGGCAAAAGAGAGTGTGCTTAAAAAATTTGTGAAATCTGAAGCCAAATAAAAGCACACGTTTAAAAAGTGACATGGATGTCTGATCTGCCTCCTCACTATTCCCTTCAAAGACGCTTTAATTTATCCAAAAATGTGTGACAAATTACGGGCACCTTAATTTAAGAATTTGTTTTGAAGGTGAAAAATTTGGACTTTAATTTATGAAATTTTCCCCTTTATCAGCAGTTTAAGTTTTTCTTTCATATCCTAAAAAGCCATAATTAGTTCTTTCTTGGGTCCTTTTGAGGAGCAATTTTCAAGCTCTATAATTAGTAAAATGCACGTCTTAAATCTTACTAAATTTGAACTTTAATGCTTGGCTACGAAAAAATGCTGCAACCTCGCACCTAAATGTCTGTAGATTTGTACTTTTGTTTTGCGCATTAAAAAGGGAAGCAAAAAAGTTCCTTAAAATAATTTTGTCCATACTTTTACATCGAACTGGGTTGCTATAAGTAGCCTAGAATCACCACTGAAACCTGTAAATCGGCGCGGTGTGCTTTGATTCAACATAAAAGCACTCATTTCATTAATCGCTAAAGTCAAAGTAGCTATTTGGTCACATCACTTCCATTTCGTTCTATTTAATATTCCACCCATTTTCCGCTTTTATGATTGACGAATCAAGCTGAATTTCCAACTTCATTGCTTATGAACAAAAAATGTCGCGGTATACGTTTAGAGAACTCAAAAAGCGTCCTGCCATACCTTTTTTTAAACAAAGGATTTAACAAATTTACTATTCAAGCCCTAAAGCAAAAAGTTGAGGGGTAAGGAATTTACGAGCACTCTGAATATAGTTTAAAGGCACACAATGAATTATAGTAGCAAACAAGTGAAGATCCACGAATTCTCCACAAACTAAATCGCTGACACCGTATGTAATGGGCGAAGCTTCCTATCTTAGACCGCTAGGTCTTCAAGATAAAGTGGCTTTGATCACGATTGGGTCACCGGCGCCTCCAGAGGCGCGAATTTAAGATGTTGATTGGGGGGTTGTCACCTGAACTTTATTCGCCACACCGGTACCTGATTCGTTACTCTTCCACCAATCGGAGGACTCCTTTTCCCAAGGAAATATATAAAAACTGGAAATATGCCTATTAGAGAGAAATTTGTTTGGACCAATATGAAAGTAGCTACGTCAGACTAAAATTACTATACCCGAGGTGAGTACCAAGAGGAATATTGTATTTAAACTAAAGCTGGTTTTAATGAGTAAATATTTTAATATCTGCCCATTGTCATGAACGTTAACTTCGTGTCTTTCTTTCAGTTAGTAAATTTAGATCGGTTTTTTAGCAGGGATAATTCTTTCGACCTGCTGAAGGAAGTACCAGTAGGGCATTCCAGACTTTGTTAGACTATCGTATAATGCCAATTTCACAGTCTAAGTGATTATGAGATTATCCTACTTCAACTGTGATTATGCGGGAGTTTTTCGCCTCTCGAATAAAATCGAATAAATAATTTTATATGCACTTTATTTCAGTAAAACGCAGATTACAACTTTTGGTTGCTTTTTGGCAGAAGAGCATTAAATGGTAAATAAAATGGTGATTTTAATGTAATGGGCATACTGGTTTAGGGGAAAAGAAAGTGCTGTAAGTAGGGGGACTTTATAATGACGAACAGAGGACTAGCGTCGTAAAAGATTTTGTGGTTGGTTTGGAGAGGAATGCAGGGAGACATTCGAATGTAGTTGAGTGGGATGACGGATAAACTCCATCATGGACGTTAAAACAAGCAAGAAAAGTTGCAATACACACGCATCAGTAATTGTATTGTCATTGCCTTGCAGGGACGAAGCGCGAAAATCCCCTGAAAATGACTTTAATGACCAGCACTTTGACAGAGCAGATTCCTGCAATCATGATAATGCTGGGCATTTTCTGCAGCATCGGCTGCATCGGCAACACCATTGTGATTGTGATCTACTCTACCAAGCATGATCGTCTGACCTCCACCGTGTTCATCCTGGCTCTGGCGATGGTGGACTCTTTTGCCTGTGTCTGTCTCATGCCTCTCACCATTTACATTGAATCAGTAGAGTGGCGCATTCAGTCGGAGTTCCTGTGCAAGTTCTACTATGTCATCAACAACTCTTTCATTCCCTTCTCTTCTCTTCTCATTTCGGGTATTGCCTTTGATCGCTACTTCGCTATCTGTCATCCCTTCTCCAAGATCATCACCGTGAGTCGGGCTAAGCAAATCATTGTTGTAATGCTCTCATTAGCCCTCCTCCTCGGCGGTGTGTCTTCCATGACGATTGTGGTGTCGCTGATTCCCACCGCCAACACCTCTGCGCCAGAGTATGAATGTACGGAGACGCGAATGCTGAATACTACGAAGAGCCAAATGGCCATTTACCATATTGTTCAGGGCAGTCAGATCTCCAGCTACGTGCTTTGCATTCTTTCAGTGGTCATCCTCTATGTTCTTATCTTTCGATCAGTTCTTCTCGTACGTTTACACCCATTTAAAGATTATTTTTGAGACACTAGTCGAGTAAACAGAAATAAATAATTCATCTAATCCAATCCGGAAAAAATATGTTAAGAGTAGACATCACACAACAAATTTTTACGTATTATTTTCTAGCATAAGTAAATGAATCCTATGAAACTGTCCTTCATGGAGAATTTTACCTAATCTGATATTCATATGTCCCTTTTCCCACTAATTGATCAAATTCGAGTAACTCTGAAGTACGTTTATAAGAATATAAGAATATATAGGACTCAGAATGGATTTTGATCAAGGCGTTTTAAAAGTTAGTATCCACGCAAAACAGCGCTTTCATTTAGAGTCCTTTTATCATTTTTCCATATACTTTTTCGACCAAGGCGCTCTTCGCATAGATGAGATTTACATTGAGACTCAGTAGATTGAAGTATCAGGGTAGTCCTCCGTTGTACTCTGCAACAAGATAAATACGACTTCTCGAAATTCCACATATCTATAAACAAATGTAATTCCTATTGGTTTCTCTGGCCTACCACTTATTGTGAAATCGTCTGCAAAGTCACTTGTCTATATTAATATTTGATAAGACAAAGGATTTAGCCGAAATATCAGTTAGCGGATCTGGGATAAATAGCAAATGGTGGAACTTGAAGCAGTAGCACCAAGAGCACTTTATGACACCATTGAAATAAATGGATTCCTATCAATAATCTTCTTCACTTTCATCAGAAAGAGGAAGGATTATTGAATAACAAAATTGTCGATTTCAGATTCAAAGGTAAATCAATCATGTCCAATTTACGGGACACATTTTGCCATAACATCAGTTGACTGTCGAAAGCAGCTTCATTTACGAGGCCTGCGGAAGTCTTAAAGCGATCGCTGCGTCCTGTGGTATTTCCATTGCGCGGGCTTCTCCCCAAAAGATAGTGCATTTGCATGATTAAGGTGGTAAACAAACGCATTAAGTGTGTGCGTTCCCACATCGGTGTCGGTGTCACTGCGCGTCCTATTTGCCGTTTATTGACAGGTCAGATCGGCTTGAGGTCATGCCGAGGGCGCGCACCGCTGTCGCGGCTTTAAAATACGGCCATGTAGTACTTACTGTATGTTTAGCGCCGGACCGAGGGTGAAGCACAAAGCACTTTACCGCCATTCTTTTATTTCAAGAATGGCTTAGAAGAAATCGTAAACTGAAATTAAAATTTGAATATCACTTCCGACGCTGATGAGAAAACCTGATAAAATTCTTCAACTGGAGCGGTGTAATGAAACTGGTTTTACGCTGGAAATTTAGACACGAAGACATCTTGCTCGACTAACACTTAACTTAATCGAGGAAATTAGACATCACGTACTCACACAAAGATCAGTCTGTAGGCAAAGTGTAGTTGGATATCCCTTAATGCAGGGATCACTTTTTTAGCATAAGACTAGTTCGAATGTCTTGAAAATAATATCTGTTTTAATTTTTTTCCAAAATCATTGTTGTTTTTGGCAGTACTTTCATTGAAAGGACGAAAATGAATTCTTCTGGGTCATTTGATGCTATTCTAGCACGATGTTCTTGTATGATTTCTTCAGATGCGAGAACGGAGGAAACGACTGATGGGAAACAAACTGCAATCGCTTCCTCAATTCTCCGAAAGCACCAATTCAAATAACGCTGCCAAGGATGGAGATCTGAGACCTCCGCTATCAGTCACAATTCAGCAAAGAGGTTTGCCCCCAAATCCCAAAAAATTGAGCTTGAATCTCACGACGACTCTACCTGGTGTTGTGGAGGAAAGACCGAACGAAAAGAACGAACAGAATCTGGTCTTAGAGATTTGGAAGAACCGGCTTAATGCCACAGAGGAGAATCCAGCCCCTACTGCAATAGGCAGGAAGGCAAGTGCACCGGTGCTAAAACAAAGAAAGATCTCCTTCCTAGACAAACCTAAGAGGTGGGTGGGTAGGAACAAACAAGAGCGTCAGCAGAACCGACGCATCTCGTTGCGCGGGTTCAAAGGGACTTTCGTGCTCCAGAACATGAAGACAGCGGCCATGCTCTTTGTTGTGGCCATTGTCTACATTATCGCCCTGATCCCTGCCATGCTTATGGCAATTGGCGTGGTTGAAATGTACCTGCCTATCTTCTACATGTACTATGTGAATAATGCCATAAACCCGATTATATACTGTTTCATGAATCCGACTTTTCGAGAAGATGTACAAAACTTTTTCACCTCACGATTCCGTAATTTTCACAAGGCCCATTAAGAACAATAAAATCTTTTGTTTTCTTTACACACTTCTGATTTATAACTGAGTGAAGGATAGATGTCGGAGTAAAAGCAAGTTCAAGAAGTCTCAAGTAAATGATCAGAGTGTTGCTGACTATTCGTGTATGACCAGGATTTGCTGCAGGTACCTAGGGGAATAGAACTTGTGAGTCTCTTCCGCGCCTCATGTTTATCGTTAAGTCTTTGGTAGAAATACTAACTCTGTTTAATTAAAAAATTTATATAAAATATTCCCTCATAAAAAATGACCTAAAAGAAGGAAAATTTTTCGTTTCTAAATAACTGATGCACCAGCCCCTGCAAAATTTTGTTTTTTACCCTAAATAGAGAGTTTGAGAATGAAGCCTCAAATCGACATTTCACAGATTTGCACAAGTTTTTTTCAATTGAATTAAGACAGGAGTAAATTTTACTTGGTAATTTGCAGAACCGCTACTCTAGGACAGTATTTTTGAGAACTTCATTGGAAACTTGACCTGTACTCTTCTGAACGGTAAGGCGTGATTTCGGTAGTAGTAAGATTAAGTAATCCCAAGAGGCAACCTAAAAATAAAGGGTTTGCTAGGAAAGCTTGCATATTTTCCAGTTTTGTCAAAGGCCCAATTACACCAGAAGGAGAGATTTTGCAAAATTTAGGCATGAACAAATTGTGCATCATTTTCAAGCAGCCATGTGATATTTTTCTTGCCTTTCCGACCAGTTATGCATAAAACAAATGAAAATGACTGCTTTGTTGAAGGAAAGAAACAATAAACCTGTGGTTTCTTACAGACTGAACCAGTTAACATGAAATTTACTACTGGATGCCTAAAAGGAAGATAAAACAGACCAAGAAGCACAATATTCTAAGGTTTATCACTCAAATTTCTGCTATCCGGGTTGCATACTAGTGTCAAAGCGGTTTCACTAGGACGGATTTAAATAAATTCCTGGCAACTGCAGCCTCGCTGGTTGACGGTGTCTTAAGACTCCAAGCTTATCGCTGAATGGTCATGACTGAATCCTGCGTATCGTGGGCCCCTTCTAAATCAGTCATAGTGGTAAGTGAAGGCCACGGAGAGCCAAAAATTCCGTTAAAATGGGTGGACACGCCACTGCTTGACAAAACTGAAATGGGAATATGTAGCCTCGTTGACAGTGGAAGATCGGAATTAAAACAGACTTCAGTAATTAAAAGTAGCCAAATTTTGTGAATGAAGAATATTACGAGGCCAAAATACTCGGGCATAATATGTATTGTCGACGTGTACTAGGACTTGTAGCTACTCACATAGCCCAAAGGCCAGACCTCTAGCAAGGACACGTTAGCGAAGCCCCTCAATGGTCCTCCACCAAAACTGAGAAATAAGCAAACAAATAACATATTACGCAGTCGTTCTCTTTTGGGTGCCATCCCCGACGTCCCCCTTTGTCAACCCCCCACGTCAGCTATCACTTCGTAACTGATACTGTAAGGAAGACATACACCTACCAACTACGTCAGTCATCGATATTTCATGCAGAGAATACTTGGCCTAACGTCTCCGATCTCTTTTGATAATTAGAATGAACCGGGAGTTTTGTCTTGTATGGAAACTGGTTTCGGGGATGGGGGATGTGCTGGCCAGCCACGAGAACACTAACCAAAAAGAAGAGTCACATAACAAGGGACAGGGTTTAACATAGTTTAATGGGAATGAAACTTTGTGTTCATTTCTCCTTGCCACCTCTTTCTCACTTCAGTGATGTTTGGCCATATCTGTCTAGGTTCCATCTAGATGGTAGAGAAGTAGAGTAGGTATCGCATGTTTGCATAAATGATATCTTCATTCAGGTACCTTTTACAACTTCGTGATTAACTTTTCCAGATGTTTTACGGCCACGGCTAGTGTCACTTCGGTTGTTGGTAGCCTTCATACAGACGAAAAACTGGGATAATTGCCAAAGTTTGACATTATTCTTATGCCTCTTGGTGATTGTAATATATTCTCCCATTCTTATAATATGCACTTCTTTCGCCTCGCCAAGGTTTATCACCCAGCAGTATAAATCAGAGGATTTTTTGCCTTAAGAGTGCGTTCGTTTTCCACTGCCACCTCTGTAACGCCCTCGAGACTTCTCAAGACATAATATTGGGGCAGAATATGTGTTATTGAGGTGCAGTAGTGCTTCGAGCTACTAGCATAACCCGGAGGCCAGGCCGTCGGAAGGAGGTGCACTGATGGAGCTCTCCAATGGTATGCTACCAAAACCTAGGGTTAAACAAACAGTTAATGTATTAGGTATTGATATCCATCAAAACGCATCATTAGTGACTACAGCATTAGTAAGTAAAGTTGCTGATGTTTTCAGAATTCAAAATAAAATTTTTATCTCTAACAACGACTTTTTGTGTGGAAAAGTCGTAGTTATTTTACAATTCCAACTTTTCGCTAGGAATTTAGTACGTTCTTAGAAGCAAATACGTTTGATCTGTCAGGTGCTTATGTGGTATTTCGAACTTTGTGTCGTGGTTTACTCAGAAACATGTTACATGGTGCAAAAGCTGCTCTTTTAAATCCTTGTTAAATTTTACGACTTCCCCTTATTATATCAATGGTTGTATTTATCAAAGCAGAAGAATCGTGAAGTGACGAAATTTATTAGCATGGATAACAAAAGTGTACAAGTCAGTCAAGGCTACCTTTATGCTCTGTCTGAGCCTTAATTCCATCGTAAAAATATCTCCAACAAGCATAAATATCTGGGGAAAATACCATCTTCAGTGGTTAGACGAAAGGTGAGGGGTATCAATGCGATAGTTAACTCTGGCTCTTGTGGGTTGACACAACACTTCTTTGGCCGAAATATTATATAGACATGATATTTACAAGCAGAGAATTACACAATTTTAAGCGAATTTTGATGGTCCACCAACTCTATGTATGATACAATTTGGACAAGAGTGAAGACTGGACACCTTTTTGTAAATAAGCAAGAATTTTGCGAACAGATGGCGAAGTGAGAATTCGTGTTCACCTTTTTCCCAAGCATGAGTATGCGATTATGTCGTCTTTCCAGATGAATGTCGCCGAAATGCCACTTTGACTGTGCACTTACAGAAAGGGGATAATAACCAAAAAGCAATTTGAGCCCCCATGGTTATTGCGTCAGAGCCTGAGGCTTCAAAAATGTCCCACAATAGAATACTTGCCAAGTTTATGTGACTTGCACATAAACACAGGGTTGTCGCAGAATACCCTAAAGCACTGCTGAAATACGACACTTGCTGGGACCGAACACAGGACTACGCGAGTTGAGTTTGTTTTTCTACCACTTTTACTAGTAGTCTCTCAAATGACTTCGGATTCTAAATTGCCTCGGACAGTGTAAGGGTGTCAGCGTTGAGCAACTCACTCCAAAAGGACAGCCTTATTTTGTTGACTGGGTATCATGCCCAAACATCAGAGGCAAAAGGTGCTTACTGTGAGCAGTCGCATTTGTAAGCCTTGCTCTGATTTCAGATTTCGCGTAATAGCCGAAATGAAGCAAGATCAGCTTTTTAAAAGTCCAAAAGTTCTCTAGAAATGATAATTCGTAGAATCTGCATAAAACTATTAAATCATTTATTTAGTCTTTCAATGATAAATGCATCACGATCATGATCACCCCGCACTGAATTTTTAAACAGCTTGTGCTATTACCGATTTGAGGTAAAAAACGACTTGCTATCATGCTTGATGTCGTGATGGCGGAGCGTTTTGTTTGCGTACCTATCAAGTAGGAAGGGAGGCTAACAAGCAGATGAGCTTCTGCGTAAATTAAAACGCGATTGACTTCGGATGAAAAACAACCTCTCTTATTCCACAGTAACTTAATCGAATTTACATGTCATTGGTGCTCCCCCAAATAAGCAACTAGGCACGTTCATTTCCAAGACACGCACTGCTTCATCCATCATCCCCATAAGAATGCGCCTTCCCCTTTATGTGTGAATGTGGTGCACAGTGGGTACAGGTGCTCATTACGAAATGCTCACTAGCTTAAGGACCAGCCAGTCAACAGGTATGGCAGACATCTATCTATTACCTATTCATCCATCTACTCGATACTACCACAAACAACTTAAAGATTTGGAAAAAAATTCCTGTGCTACTTTTCTTCCTCTTTCTTCTTCTTTTTCTTCCGAGACACAGAGGTGACAAATTAATCAGTGAATGGGAGAAAAGATGGTCCTATTCTGATTTGCAAAAGACAGTGGCACCCTTCAACTATACTGAACCTTTTCAAGGGAAGAGATTCAATTTGAGGATACCTTTTAGTAGGAGGGGTGGAGGGAGTTAGGGATACTATTTCACCTAGTCCTTTGCCATCAGCGGACATTTTCCCAGGCGACAGTTATTACTAGCACCTAGCCTTGGACTATCGTGTGCAGTACAAACGGTTAAAAGGCAAATTTGGCTTAGAAACGGAAGTGACCGGGCTTAGATCGTTTGCTGTCAGAGGCAAAGGCTTCTATCATTGCGGAATAAACAGTCTTGTGTCTAATTCAGAATCAACCAGTTTACAGACTGCGAAAAATTGTTTCAAAAATAAGATTCTTGAGTAAGTTTTCGCACTTTTCTATTTTTGTTTTAAACAAAAGCGCTAGTCTGTTTATTTGCTTGTTTACCTTATTTCAAATACTAAAATTATATCTGCAGTTATTTAACAGTAATATATGTCTCAACGCCTTACCGTCGGATGCCTTTTGGTACTCCTTAAGATGCATTCAAGAAAGTTAGTTTTGAGCATTTGAACCAGGAGTATTCGATAAATGAACAGATTCTCTAACGGAAAAAACAGCTGTTGTTTCCGGCAAAGAAAACGTTACAAACCCTCTAGCTAGGTGACGAACTTGCCTCCTGTGGCGAATGTGCATTGCAGAGTTCCTAAATGCTTTTTTTCCAGCACGTGTTAGTTCCCTTAAAGCAGAATCCAAAAAAATTATAAGGTGCTTAAAAATTTCCCCTTTACTTTAACTATCGCAAAGATCTAACCAGTGTATTCTAAACTTAATATAGTACAACTTCATTTGGATGAGCATTCCGACTTTATCAGTGGATCAAATTTCTATTCTGCAAAGATAATAAAGAATGAAACTACATGTTCCTCCTCCCTTTCGTTAGTTCATTGCAGTCAATGCAAAGTTAGCTCTTGCTAACAGTGATAAGTTGTGAGCAGCTAAAGGCCTGTGATAGGTTTTCCACCGTTTGCACGCAAACCTTATTGAGGTGGATCATCGTACATTCATGACAGTTGCCGACTACCCCCAGGAGTTGAGTCCTTCTAGGTATGATGTACTGCCTGATTCGTCCATTGCAGCAGAGCTTAGGCATATAGGGCAAAATGAAGCTACTATACATGCATTGATAGCAGAAGCAAAAAGGCTTCACTAAGGATAGTCATTCTGATCTGATGTATTTTTTACGAAAGCAATTTGTCCTGCGTGATACTGATTCGACATTGGAGTTTTATCACTACAAAAATAGAATTCCCCTAATTTGGCTACTGTCTACTTTCCTTTTTATAAAAGATGCAAAGCCTTATTTCCTACCATTAAGTGCTTCAACATTGGGACAAATTTTGTTGCTCTCTGATTCTAGGTAGTCAAGAGAGGTCCGTGAATCCAATGATTGCGTTTGCAGCAATTACAAAATGCTTTTAAGTGTCAAATAGGCGAGTGCTTTCCCTTGGATTCACGTCTGACTATCGACTGACTGCGCGAGTTTTATAACCAGTAAATTTGAATGAAGTCACCAAAGGACGTTTGGGGAAGGAGTGTCCGATAGATACCCTCAGCACTTTGTTGTTCCATCGTTGAGTAACTACTTCCAAATGAGATAAAGAGAAATCTCTCCTTTGCTTGTGCTAATAGTGATCTTGTCGGATCAGGATTGTCAGGTCTGACTCTATTCCTTTACTATGCACTAGGCGTTACTGCGAGCATATAGACTAAATGAAGTCTGAAAAAATAACAACTGCATCCTAATTTTGCACTCAAAATCTGGAAAATGTTTTTAGTTTTTTAGGTTACTGGTTCATTTAACAACATCTCCCTCATTTTTTACAATTTTTATGACATTTATTGTCAACATTTCATTCTGGAAATGACATCTTCAATTTGCATACATTTCTTACCTCGATCCTGGTCCCTTTTCAGAGGCAAGTCTTATTAACTCAAAAGTACCCTTGTCACAAGCACACAGAGGGGCTCGGAGACCACTCGCATGCCCAATAAAAGTAAAGCCAACATGGCTAATAGAAGAGTTAAACAATATGAAGAGCTCGCAATCGGTGCAGTCATCCCTTGATATATCCTTACTCTCTTTCAAAGTGCAAACCTTGGCGTCCGATTTGGTCACTCTTCCACTGTGGCAATCACAAGGTATTTGACAGCTTTAAAATCACTGAAAAGACCAATCTTTAAATTTATCTCAGTTGCAAAATGCATTGCTAAAGATCATCTGCCTGTTGATCATCACCACGACGTTCCCGTCCCACTTAAAGCATACACAAAAATACTCTTCACCATCACTCGCGACCTCAAGCTTGATTGCAAGTTGTTCTTTTTGCCTCAGATTACTTTAATCGGTAGTAACACGTATTGCTTAAAAATGCAGGGTGTAGGATGGTCATGACTCCGATGCATCTATCTTTCAGTGGGTCATCAATAGAATCAAATTACTTATTAGAAGCATTGCAATTGCTATGCAGGGTATCGGAGGAGATGCTCATTTTAGTGGCTATTAAGCAGACAGGAAAGTGCAGCAACACATCGTATCCATGCTTTGTAATTTGTCCACGTAAACAATTACAAATTTCCGTACCCCATAAGCTGCAGCAAGCCATTTCAATGAGCCATTCCGACAACCACACGGATCCTTCTGAGTCATAAGATATTTCTGAAATCATCGCAATTCTTTCAAGCGTTTTGCAGAACCTTGAGAATGCAAATACAGTTCATTCAAGTACCATCCCTTTGGCATTTGAAGACTACTTAATGCAACAAAATGAGATTTCATTTAGGCTAGAGTTCCTTAATTGCTACAGTAGGACCCAAAGTTTCCAGTGACGATTGTAAGATAGCCTTTTCTTTTTCTACTTGTGCACCTGTCTTGGTACTCGAGCATAACTGCATTCGTTGCAGATACGCTGGCATTATTCTTCTGAAGTGACATTTACACCAAAGCCTTTTATATCAAAAAAGTAAAATCACGGATTTTTGTATGTGAAGGGGCGTATAAAACGCGGGACATCATAAAATCGCCTTCACAAATCCTTTATTATAGTCGCGCTCTAATGACAACTTGATGGCTCTGTCACAGTCGCTTCGGTTTGTAAAATGGTGCAATTTAATTTACACCTTCGTGATGCGGTTAAAACTTGTTTAAATAAATAAAACAGTAATCAGGTAGAATAAGCGATGTCAGTACAATGTGAAAATGACTGTTTAACGCCGATAAAAATAGATAATAATGAACCAAAGTGACTTCTGCTACAAATAAAATCTGATTGTGCTGGAGTAACTAGTGTGAAATTGCTCAGTCCCATCTTTAGATCCGGCCGTATCAAACTTTTTGCTTGTTAGGACTGCAGGAACACTGGTATTGCAAAGGAAGCCGCGTGCGCCTAGAAGTTATAAATCTCAGAAAGTACTAACGCAATCGCATTTGTTGTTCTGAAAGACGACAATCTACAAGGAGGATGAAATGCATTTGTATGAAAGGAAGGATAATTCATTTGATTCGTGCTTGCTTCACCAGTAATAGAAAATGAAATGGAGGGTGATACGAACAAAAATTGCAAAGAAAAATGACCAAATTTGAGGAATAAAACTTTTAAAAAAAATCCAGTAGCAGAAGTGCTTGCCTGCCAAATTTATTGGCACCTGTTTGACTCCATCACAAAAAAGGGTGAACAGCGTGAGTTTGAATTTTCATTGTATCAAACACAGACATCGAAGCAGTGGGCGTGAAGTCTGAAAGTTGACGCAATTTCTGCGAATACTTAAACGAGTGTCGTAATCTCGGAGACCATCTGGGTGTATTAAGTTGGCGAAGATTTGGTTGCGGAGAGGACCATGGAATCACCATGGAATTACCGTCCTTCTGGTAGGAAGCGAGACCCTGATCGATTGAATGCGAATCTGGTCCCTTGGTTTTGAGACAAAAGTCAAGGTTTCAAAATTGACGTAGTAAATGCATTAAACGAATCCTATTTTTTTTGAAAATATTAGATTGTTTTCCATTGTCACTTCCACCGACTAATAAACAAATCTGTTTTCAATAAAAACTACCCCTTTGCCTATTTCCACGCCATACTATGTGCCATTTGGGGCAGATAGCAGGTCTGATGCAAACCGTCTGATATTTTTCTATCCATCATAGGAATGAACTACTTTTACCCAAACCTTTTAGGGGGGTGCAGTTTCCAAAAGTATTTCTTATGATGGTTGTGTTATGCATCGGGCATACCTGTCAATGCATAAGCTAAGGTAACAAGAGCGCGTAGAAGGACACTGACTTGAGGTTTGCCAGACATTTCTTCTATTTAGAATTGGGCGTCCAACAAGAGCAAGAAACACGCCTCTACAGAAAAGAATTTACGATTTTCTTCTTTGCGCACGAAATGCGTAAATTATTGCCCTCCTTCTAATCAAATAAACACCCGTAAACATTTCTCCTTCGGCATTGACTTTGAATGTTTCGGTACCCAGACAGGCATTGCTGTGACCTCTCATGTTAAATAACAAATTTGGCAGGAAGGAGGATTGGGGAAAGTGATGCTGCGGGTATTTTTCGAGCGATTTTACACCTCGTCTAGTTATTTCAAGTATGATTTTTTTCAATAAAGCAAAATAAATCATAAAAGTGGTTTCATTTGATGCGATTAAAATGCCTGATAATCTGTATCCCGTGCACAGATCTTACATGTTTATGAAGCATAATAAAATCCACCCAAAACTAAACCAGTGATCCACAAAACCGACAATAAATAAAAAATTAGCATCCACTGGCATATGAGTTTTAGCATTTGCACAGGGACAGTAATCTAACAGAACATGATGCTTCTGGAATGAAGTGGGCAACAGATGAAAATAGACTCGTAATTTATACAGACTCCCTAAATAACCCCGCATTTATTGAAGATAAATGCTAAAAAAAGCACTGTCCAAGTACTACTTGACTCCTCCAATTTTCGAAGGAGCAATTAGGAAAGTAACTAGACCCCTCTCATTTGCTTACAAATCGATCTTTTGGAAATTGGAGCATTCAGGAAGTACTTCCACCGTATTATAATTTCAGTATCTACGATCAATAGAAAGGCATTTAGGGAATGTAGAAACGTAACTATTTGGCATATGATTAACCAAAGAGGAAGTTTCACTTCAAAGGAGTAACAAAATGGCCTAAGCTGAGGCTGGAGTGAAATTTTAATTACTAATACATTCATTGTCCTGTTCCATCGAATCACTAAAATGTATGATAGATAGGATTGTCATACCTATTTTCAACTAGATGAATGGGAACAATTGTCACGTTTTATTCGTTCATCATACTTTTCTAATATGACACGAAAATTAACATCACTACATCAGTCATTTAAACTACCGCTTAACAAGCAAAAAGTATTCCACATCTTTTCTAATGCTTTAAGCCTAACCAATTAGGCTGCAACACGAGTTGTGGTAACCAGTTGTTATGACGATAGACTCACATGTCGCACGTGACATTAGTGGCGAATGTGGTTAACAAGATATATCTATGCGTTGTGTTTATGGTCATAATTCGTTTCATTGTGATTAACTAGTCATCCTTTATAACCACCAAAAGAGAGAAGTTTGCTTCCCACAGTGCTATTATTAATCTAGTCAAAATCATCAAATAAGGGAGTTTTGAATGCGCATTAATGAATAAAGATGTGTGTAGCCGTAGAGTGTTGATCCTCATTGCGTCCAAGCACAAAAATTTGTTTTTTGAGCCAACGAACAAGGCGATTGGAGAGGAAACCACTGCTACCTACTGCAGTGCAGCCGCAACCCTCCGAGAGGGCTGTCCCCACACCGCTACCGCCGCCGGCACCTCCACAACCCCCTGCAGGGCCGAGCGAGTGACCGGCACAAGCGCCTTCTGTGTGAGTGCAGCCATTGATGCTATTGGCCGAGCAGAGATTGACGTCCACACCACGAGCCGAGGAGAGACAGGGCGAGCTTTCGCTCCCATCAAGGCCTACACCGCCACCAACTCCACCTCCTCCGCCACTACTGATACCTCCGCTACCACTTCCTCCGGCCCCCGATCTACCACTGTCCATCAGGACGCTCGCCGAACGCAGGAGAACGTGCAGGCGACTATCCAATCCCGGCGGTTCCCATTCAATACACTTTTGGAGACGTTTTAAAACGTTACCTGGCAACTGAAATTAAGAAATGCGTGACAATGGTAGGCAGATTTCCTTATGGCAATAAAGTAGTAAGATTGCTTCCTCTCGTAAGGTAAAGAGAAAATGGAACGGTACGATTTTCCAGTCGGGTGTTGCGTGCAAGCGTTTTAGGCAGCACCCATTAATGATTAGCTGCTGAGCTCTAAGCTTTCAGCCACTGCATTTCTTTACAAGTGAAAAAAGAGTAAATAGAGCCAGGAATTACAGATTTGCAATGAGATTTTTTTAAGAGTTGAATTAGATAAGCACTTTTAAAGCTAAGTCTTTAGGGTAGCTAAACGAGAAACTCCTGCTTTTCGAGGCAAGAACGTGTGACCAAAATTACGTAAATAAATTATTCTTGTCAAACAGTGCTTAGATAATCATAGATAGCTGGTTGGTCAGTGAGTTTTAAGCTAGGTCTTTGGAAATTCTATCAACACCAATTTTTGTTGGATGGCACACGGAGTGGTTGATGAGTAGAGTCTGTGTGCGATCAAAAATATACGTTCCTTTTCCAAATAAATAGAATGCAAAATTTAAATGCGCAAATTACCACTGACTCCAAAGATTTAAGCGTGCTCTTAAAGCTGTGACAATAAAAGGGTCTTAACATGCAATAGACAGTAAATTATGGGCTATTTTTTCCATTCTATTGCAGAGGAAGGATCGCTTCAATACCAAATGTAGGCTTTAATTATGTCTGCCTAAACCACTTTTGGGCAATGATACTGATTCTCGGCAGTCGATGAGATACTAGGAAAAATACAATCGGATGCCTACATACTGATTTGTTTTATCAATCGCAACTTTTAGATGCCCTCCAGTCAACCCGAACAAAGTTTTATCGTAACATAGTTTCCTTAAGTTAATTTGTGATGGCAGCGAGACGTAGGAGATATAATTGAGTATGGTGTTGTTGGCTTAACTTCACATGTTTTGGAGTGGGGCAAATGGAAATCAAGTGTCTCCCACCGCAAAAAATAGGACAATTGCGGATGCACTTTTAAATTGTCAAAAACTTGCCTGCTTTTGTTTGCCATTCAGAATGGGAACCCAAATTGTGATGAGCTGGGGGAGTACAGAACAAACATGTATGAGTACATGAACTTTAAGTCGCGGTTTGTAAGTCTGGCGCATAAACACTTGGAGAGCAGTAAAAGTGGTCTTTTTAGGTCAGAAAGCAATGGTTTAACCACTATAGTGTAGTCAAGTTTAGCAGGAAAGTCATTAATTCACAAAAAGCACAGAAAGAACAGACACATCTGAGATGAATTTTCAAATGCCATTTTTAATCTACTTTACAATTATAGCCCGGATGGCTAATTTTTTTGTTTGCTCAATTTTAACGACTGTCAATTCAGCGTCACGCACTGTTTATTAACATTTAACATTGGTATATGAAGTTGAATGGGTTCCCTACGCAGCGAACATGGCGATATGCAGCAGTTAATTGTTTTAACCAGTTACTATGAGTTAATAAAAAAGCAAATGCCACACGGCTATGAAGTTGAACTCGGTTAGGGAACTCTTGATGTCATTTATGCGTATTAAGGTCCACCCTACTTGTCTTGAGGCGGAATATTGAAGTATTTATTAGTGGGATGAAGTAGCACACCCTCAGATGGAAATAAATCATTTTGAATGAGTAGAGTTTATCATAAACTAGACAGTTCTGAAGATCTTCACGTTCCAATAGCGATCCTCTTGCTGAAGTAGTTTTGAACTAAATTTACACTAGATGGTAGGATTCTGTACTGATTTGGATAAAGCAATACACTTGAAGCCTATTTATACACGAATCTGACTGCTTGGCATTCTGAAGTTCTTCCAGTTCTGCATCCAAAATATGCATGGTCTTTTTCTGGACCACCACGGGTCAGTTCTCCCATCACTCATTTGGATGATCTAAAGTGCAACTTTTGCAACATGCTCTTCACACGACGATATTGCTAAAAAGATCGGCGGATAGGGTCAATTTAAGGTCTCTAATTTTTTACCAACAATCAAGCAGTAATTGCTTTTAGCAAAAAAAATTAATGCAGTAGGACTTAGAGCAACGACGGGAGATATGTCAGAAAGGCAAGGAGCCACAAAGTACGACTTTAAAAAAAAAACTGTCCATAGAATTTGCTAAGCCTTCTTTCTCATCCAGCTCTATTCTACAATCCGGTTTGGGTACTAAGCACATAACCTATCTTGGCCTGATTGGGACACCACTTTTAGATTGCATCATTCAAAGCGGAGGACCCACCTTATCAACTATGATGGAACGACATTCCTTAAGCTCCTCAAGCACCGTCAGAAGGTGTCCGTTTATTGCAGTAGCCTAGGATTGGAAAAAACTTACAGCAATCATAAAAACAGAAGTTGGAGTAAATTAATGCGTCATTTTGAAGTGCATATCAAGTTATTAGCTCACAAATAATAGCCCTTGGCTTTGATATGAAGGATTTCCGGCTCATCACGAGAGTGAACTCAAAATACTTACGTCTTCCGAAACAGAAAGCAAGTGGGTAATGGTCGGTGCGATCTTCAACCAAAATTCCAGCGCAGTCCCATTGGCCGCACGATGGGCATTCGAGTTTATAGGGTGCAAACTTCCAGCGGACTCGCAGTAGACCGTCCAAACCTGGGCAATAAGGGTAATTACGTCTCATTTTGCGATATTTTTGGACAGTGTTTAAACACGGTTGGGCATTTTAGTGGTCACATAAAATAAACAGCCTCATCGGCCAAAATCTACTCATGGAATCCACGAACCCGTGAGCAAATGACTTAGCTAACATGTTTTACCAGAGTTCCAACATTCAATCCACGGTTCCCCACTGATATTTATTGCACGCGTTCTGCTTCTACATGATGTGGTATGGCAAGCAAAAATTACAGCTTTTAGGTGTGTGGCCCGAGAACAGTCATATATTATTTCCAGATTTTAAAGAGCCTACTTGCTGAATTCGCAGCCCTTCAAATTTGAAGCCACAGTACAGCATTTGTGACAGCAAAATTCATGCTTCGCATTATATTGCAGATCTTATGACCTAAAAAAGATATCCGCCCCCAAAGTATGATAAAATGTTTTTACGTATAAGGTAATGCAAGCACGACATCGTGCATATCAAAACTTTATCACAGAGCTATTCAAAATGCGTTGATGTGGATACAAAGATGAAATTAAGAGCCTAAGGAACTACTTACTTGACAGAGGAGGAAGGCATGATATAACGAGGACATCACCGCCACAGACCGAAGCTAATAAAATAAAAAGAACGAGGGTATAAACAACAGACATTAAAGTTTTGCCCGAAAACGTATTATGAGCAGTCTCAATTCTTTCAGCAATAAGACGTGGAGTAATCACCGCGTTAGTAGCACAGAAATGCAGTCACTACGGTTGACCCTTCTAGGACCAATACAGTTGTTCATGATTCACCCAAAAAAACCTTAGAATCTTGAATAAGACAAAAAAAATTCAAGAAACAAGAGCTTATGTGCTAATAAAAGTACACAGGAAATTGTAGTAGATGTTGTTCGAGATGCCATCTTCCAAACTCCAACTAGATTCATCCAGAGGAACTAGCGGAATGGAGAACTTAAAATGCAAATATTTTTGGAAACAAAGATTGGTGGGGTCAATTGTAATTAAGTGACGACCTGTTGTTTGGTGTCCAATGAGGAAGGGAGCACATGACCGATGGATAGCAAATTACTAACAGGGTAAAGAGGTGGGACTGAATAAATAAAATTTACATCCACTGCGATAATTTTGATGGCATTTGCAATAAAAAATAGCAAATTTTTTGAGTGAATGTTTCAAGCACGCCTAACGAATGCACGAAGTAGATTCGACTTAATTTCGATCGAGTTTTTATAAGGCTGACGTTCTGTGGCAATACTAAATCCCGCAACTCGAAATTAAGGATCAGTCGGCACAACCTCCCTAGTTGTTTAGGAAAGATATTCAGTAAGTAGATGGGGTCATAAGGTTGTCGTTGTAACACTTAGATTAGTCATATTGTGACTACCTTCGTCTTCAGGAATGATAGGAGGCGCTACATTGGTGGCAGCGGAAAGAGAACCCGATCAGAGAGAACAATCAACCTAATTTCCATTACTGAATCCTAAGCCTTAACATCCGCCGGATGAGAGAATCAGCGGTGACCTTTCAACAACTACCCTAGTTACACGCAAGTTCAATGACTGACGCAGTTGGTTAGTTCTCGGGTGTTTTCTCATAACAGCGACTGCATTATAAAGGTCGATGCACGAGATTGACCAAGGGACCGCCATAGACATCGTTCAAAAGGAGAAGGGGGCTGTGTAATACTTCGACAATTTGCTTAACTCTTCGTTTTGGTTTTGCGCGTAGTCAAAGCCCTGTCTTCGTACTTCCAGTGAAAGGCATGGCTTCGGGTCATGCCAGTGTCTTCCTCCGCCCTTCTGTGCATCAGCAATACATATACAGCCTTAGTGTTATGAATTCTTTCGTCTTCAGGAAAGAATACGGGCGCCACAGTGGTCACCAAGTAGAAATAACCCAAGGATGGTAACAATGCCAAGCGGTATGCAAAATTCCATTTTACCTCACGAAATATCTGCAACAAGCGCTGTTTCTACAGGTTGTGCGAAGCCGCACTTTATTGCTGCAATTTGTGGTAGAATTATGAAGAGAATGCAATTTATTTTACGTTTGGGAATTCCACATTTTTACTTCGAAAAACGCCTGATTCTTATTGTAAAATTTTCAATCTTTTCATCCCTTTGGAGCCCAAAAGAACGAAGCTTAGACGATAGTTCCGTTTGAAGTGTACAGGATTATCTGCAACGTTTGTGAAGCTTATTGTCGAAGTGGCAGGTACACCAATGCTCCCCTATCCAATCTAGGTATCGAGAAGACATGGCATCTGGGAAGGGGGTAATTAATATTAAAAAGTCAGATTTCAGAAGGCTAAAAACTTTTTCAAACGCCACATTTTCCAACTATAATTCAAAACAAGTTAATGCTTTTGTTCAAGACTATATACTATTATACGAATAGATTACCATTAAAAAAATAGCTGATTAAAAAGCAAAATGGTAGAAATGTCGAACTGGCGAGAACTACGGTTTTATGACCATTAATTCGGCAGAAAAAATCAGGAAAAGCTTTGTTTTATTTGAAAATTTTATTCATACTCTAACTGAGCATTGTGAGAAAAAGAAAAGTGGCAGAGAGTACATGCGAAACGGCATTAAGACGTTTTCACAGGCTAAAGACCAGCATTTTTAGCCTGCGCATATAAGAAAACATCTTTTCATTTTTTTCCGAGAAAAAACAAGGCATTGCCTTAGGAACGGTTATTTTCTGTCCCCAACAACTATAGCTGGAAGCGTTTCTTTTGACTTTGAATGTCAGCTTGATAATTATGTTTCTTCATAAATTTGTGACTTTTTTGCTTTATTATTACACAGTTTTTAATAACATTGTGCATGTCTATGTAAGAAAGACTCACACATTTACAAGACTCGCGCAATTGTTTAGGCGTAGAGAATAACTAGTGGAAGTCAACCTAATAGCATGCAAACAATTAGGCTTTATTCTAAGATATTCAGCGTTCTAATAGTCAGTAATGATAACAATTTAATGCCTAGATTATTTAGTTGACTCTTCGTTGTGGTTACACGGGTACTTAAGGCTCCGTTATTGTACTTCTACCGGGATGCACAGCCTCAGGGCCATGCCAATGGTCCCCTAGCCCTTCTGTATGTCGGTAATACATATTCTGCCCTAGTAGTTTGTCTTCTTCAGTCTTCAGGAATGACTCAGGGTGCTACATTAGTGGCAGCTGAAGCCGAACCCGATCCTATCATTGAACGCTAAACTTGGACGCGATGGAAGAAGAGCATATGCTGCAGATGAGAGAATGTACAACCACTCCTGACTGGAAGTTTAAATATGGCGTCTACCTTTGGCAACGACCCCAGTCCGGTGGTCTGCAGTAAAGCCATTAACAATTGAAGCGGTATTAGTCATAGTATAGACCCATCTGGAAGATGTTAATTACATGATCACGCGATACCTTTACCTCTTTACTGACTGATAAGAACCCAGGTAGATATGGCTGGGTAACACCGAGGGGAAAACAAATTAGCAAGGAGGAACAGACGCGAAACCTTATTCCCATTAAACTATTTTAAACTCCATCCTTTATTAAATGAAGTTTTTAGGTCAGTGTTCTTACGATTGGTGATGGACAGATGAGATGACCAACAAATTCCTCCTTCGCCCGATACAATCCCCAAACAGAAAAAAACTCCAGATCCAGTGAGATTACCAAGAGAAATCAGTATCAAGTATCTTCGCATTTGCACGCAACTTCGAAGACTGGAGTAGTTGGTTGGTTCGTGAGCGTCTTTCATACAACACTGGCTACGTTATAATGGCCGACACGGGAGGTTGGCCAAGAGCTCTATGCAACACTTCAACCATTTGTTTACCTCTTCACTTCGGCCTCGCGGGCGCTTAAGGCTCCTCTTAGTACTTTTGCTAGGGGGCATGGCCTCTAAGCTGTGTCAGTAGCCCCCAGCCATACTGTACGTTAACGGTACACATTCTGCTTTGGTATTATGACTTATTCAGTCTTCAGAAGACTTAAGGCGTTACAATAATACCACGCTTTCTGTTAAACTTAGTGATCACTGGAATAGCAATTACCAAAGAGGGGATAGCCATAAACCTGAGAAAGTAATCTAGTAACCAAAAGTAAATCACAGAAATTACTTGTCAGCTATCGATACAGAATAAATGGAAGAATCGGTACATAATTGCCGATTAACATAGGAATCAAGGCGAGAAATGCAGATTAAAAATTACGATCAGAAACCTCACAATACTTTTCTATCAAATGATGAATGGCCTTCGGCAGGAATTCTTTAGATGCATACTTCTTAATTTCCTTAAACTCTTAATGGATTGCAAACTTGAGGAAAACGGATCGCCTTGGAAAAAGTAGATTGTCAATACCGACTTTTGGGGTTTAGTTTGGTTACAAGAAACTACCAAATTAAAACAGAAATTGATGAAGAGGCGTACTTTTTGCTGGTCTGGAAAACCGGAAATGAGAAATTTCACGAGGTCAGCAACCGAATTGACGAAGGTGAAGGGCAGAGGCCGGCAAGTGAGACCAGTGGCGTCACGTGTGAGAGCGGTGTGCATGGTGGCGCCGAGCAGGAGCCAGGTCAGAGTCCTCACGCGCTCCAGACACAACAGAAAGTCTCGTGGTCTATAGTGGCAGAGTCGCAAAATCCATAAATTTTCTGGTTTTGACCTGGCCTCGAAGAATGTTAGGCAATGCTTCAATATCTCCCATTTGATACGTAAAAATCTCATAAACAGTGGCATCAATCTTCACCACCACAATTATAGTGACCCACTTCCATAAACCTCGACAACGAGGACACTTTATTTCTCAGCTGCACATGATTCCCGGTCTAATGTGATAATGGCTCAGTTATACAACGTAGGAATTACTCACTATGGATAAGGCCTTTTGAAGGAGATATTGATATTGGGGTAGGCAAAAGGTATTTCCTTTACTAGCGACGAACAAAATAGACCAAGAATTAGAAGGAAAACTACGATCGGCCAACCATTATAAATGGAGAAAGCTAAATTCAATTAATCTGGTTAGATTGAACTATTTGATGCGAAACCTCATCTGCATTTGGTGTACTTTAACCTAACTTCCCGAGGGCAAAAGTGCAGGTAGTTATAATGGCCTTTATTTATTACGATACAAACTGATGAGCGTGTTGGTGGCTGTACATCATCAGAGTCAAGTGCTATTTTTGATATATATACGATATTCTTAGACAACAAAAGATCCAGACAGTTTATCGAATCGTTAAAAAGTCGGAACATCAAACGCCTAAAAAGTGAATGATACAAACATTCCAGCTTTCCGCAACTATTGTAGACAGGGTGCCACGTTGTAAGACTAATTTCAATTATTGGCTTAGACTATTAAAAGGATGACTCCTGTTTTGTGGTCCGTTGGTTTTACCAGGCACCTCATATATTTCTGGACCAATTTGTTGCCACAGTATTATAACTTTCAGATGCTAGTTCGCAATTGCTGGTGCAATATTTTAGTTACATATTTACTTGGGGTTCAAGGGCATTTGAGTCTCCGCTTATGTACTTTCGCTGGGCGGCATGGCCTCTAGGCCATGCCAGTAGCCTCAGCCATCTGTAGGCCAGCCGTTCAATTTCTAAGCTATTATTATGTCTCCGTCTTCAGAGGCAACTCGGGACGCAATAGCTAGAATTTAAAAATCCGAAATAAATTCCCATTTATGGCATTTTATCAGACTTCCTTAAAGTAATATGAGCGAAGTCATCAATGTTTTAAATGAATTGCGTAAAGGCATATAAATAAGAGCACATAACTGAGACGTAAGAGCTAAAATAGAAGCATTAAATAGGTAATTGGGATAAGACTGGAGGTTACAATCTCATCGGCGAACGGATCTGAAGGGGTTACTTTCACGAAAAAAAAGCAATTTAAAGATTTAAAACGTTAAAGTATGAGAACATACCCCTGTTGCATAAAAGTAGGGATAGATTTGAGCCATGGTAGATATTGTAGAATGGGAGCGTCCAGTCTCGTGGTGTGAGATAAAGTTGGCACCAGCGCGAAATGTCCAATTGACATGATGGACTGCTGACCTATTCCACCGGGCGCTGCCAACACCGAAGCAATACTGGGGCTTCGACTCGTAAGGTTCGGGACTGCCAATGAGATATGGCCTCCACCACCGCCTCCTCCGCTCAAGGCGCTGCCAGCTGCACAATTAGATGTGGAGACTTTCGGTCCCGAGTAGACGGATCCGCCATCACTTCCTGCACCATCGCCCCCACCGAAAGTGAGCGAAGTGGAGTTGCGACCAAACTGACGTCCCCCACTAAAGCTACTCCCTCCACTGGATTGACCGACGCTACGGAAGCTTCCACCAGCAGAGAGAGAACCGGAGAGTTTTGAAGCTGAAGGTTGGGGTTGCTGATATTGCTGTTGTTGAGCAGCAGAAGTGCCCGGCTTCCCACTAGTACCACTAGTGACACCTCCGCGTCTCACGGGTGGGTCTAGAATTCCAGGGTTGGAATCCTCGGCGAGAAGACCCGGAGAGAGCATGATGAGAACATCTTCGTCTTTGACATTGGAATGACGTGAAAGTTCAAGGGCCACGTACTGCGCAAGACCGGACTTGAGGTGAGCACCGATGGTGTCCTCGTGCAATGAGGGAACGTTGGCTGCTGCTGCAGGCGCACAACTACTGGAATTAGCAAAACCCGAATTTTGCACTCCACTACTGGAGAGACCCATGGACGATGTCCATTGGCTGCATGTTCCAGCACCACTATTTCCGTCATTGGGGTTGGGCAGTGGTTGAGCGGCCGTCTTTTGAGCCTGTTTCACCTGTTTCAAATGTATATTTCAGATTAAAAATGGTGCTTTTGAACATTATTACAAAAACAAAATGTCACCTGGGAGAGGAATTCTTTCCACTTTCTCTATCCTAAAAGGTTAAAGGATACTTGGTATGCCCGTACACCCAAGCTTCTTCAGCGCACTTCTGTAAACACTTAAACTAAGCATAGGCAGGGTACGACATTACTATTTAGGCCAAAAAAATTATCCAACGAATCTGGTAACCATCACGAAGGCAGCTTCACCACTAAAGCAACTTTAAACTGGGGGACACTGTCTTAAAAAGGAAAATTTAACTTGAAGTCTGCAAAGCAGGAAGTGAATTTAAACTGGTACCACTTTTTTGGTAAGCTGAGCCTTTTTGGCTAAATATTCCACCAGAGGTTGTTGTCCTATCCAATGTCGGTCAAGGGGTAATTCGGCGAGTAGGAAAAGTCAATTTTATATTTTTTGCCACATAAACAACTTTGGCCATGCAAGACTTTTCCTTCATTTAGCACGATAACATCAGTAAGTCAGTCAACATGAAAACACTGTCGTCTGCAGCCCGAATTTATTCCCAAATTACTTACTTAAAGTTTATAGAAACCATTTTCTATGATGCTCTTATTTGCCATATTTAAACCAGTCCTGGGTGTTTTGATGAGTTTTCGCTCCTGATTCACCTGTCATTGAAACAAAAGCTTTGATTACAAGTGAGAACTTTGCATATTTTGAACCGGTCATACTTTGCTTTTTTTCAAAACCATCCGCAAATCGTATAGCCCATTTAAATGGGGACAATTTATGAATGCACAGATAAATTTGGGTGGTAGCCGCTCTTCACTTGAATACTTTGCGAGGAAAATTTCATGCCATCTCAGTATCCAAGGATCAACCAAAAACTAATCACTAAGTGCTTATTTAAAGGCAATTCGTTTAAATCACAATTACGAAAAAGAATGCACGACCAAAGCGGAAAAAAGGGCACTGATATTAGCGAAGAGCAAACAAGGTGACATTTTCATTACCTTCCGAATCATGTGAACATCGGAAAGAATGTTTAAACAATCGGCAATGTGAGGTCTCATTAATTCGGCCGCTCCAGTCGAAAAAAGGTGGAATGTCTGTGGATTGAAGATGTCTGTCAGACTGGGCGAAATCTGGTTAGGCTCCAACGTTCCACCCGCGTCCATTAGTACAAGCTGAATTAAAAATAGCGGAAAAAAGGAGGCGATTGAGCAAAATCCCTCATTACATAAGACAAAAAATCCGTTCATTTTAATGCGCTAGCATAAAGTTGGCCACTGAATGTTGAATAGTTCTGGCAATAGATCATTCATTAATAACAAATGATTGCCAGTAATATGCAACTATGCTTTCCCCCTTTTCTCCCCTTTTAAAGATATTGCACTTTGTGTTTTGTGCAGGTGGTACAAACGAGCTTGCAGCTCCGAAGAAATGTTACTCAAGCGAATCACTCGAAATTGCGGATGTTGGTTCCACGTGGACTTGGACATGGAGACCTCAGGAAGTACTCGGTGTTTAAGTTCTTACTATTTCATGACACTAGTTGACGTAGGAAGCACTACCTAAAAGCAGGTATTATTTTAAACTCCACTGTTAACGTATTGGAGGTCCCTCTTTCAGTTTGTTAAAAGTGCCAGCCAAATAAAGGTTGTTACGGTACGTTTTGCTTGCCTCACCATAGATAAAAATTTAACAATTTACCTGAAGCATTTTGAGCAAGTTTTCGTCGGGAAGATAAATGCGAAACTTGAGTGCATTCATGAGTGACTCCACCGCGATTTTGGTTAACTGAGATTTGGCCCTCTCCTACAAGTAAGTGCGGGAAATAATGCAAAAGTGCGATTCGCATGAATGGGTTTACGACCTCATGATTTCTGAATACACTGCAACTGTGGCTAGTTTTGCGCAGTTTCTAGCGTAATATACTAGTTATGGCTGCAGAGTAGATGGGCAAGTGTTAATGCATTTGCATTCAAATGAATGTCAGCATAATAAAGGTGTTTGCTCCGTTTAAACTCATTGCATAGTTTTCACACCGGCAAAAACGTTAAGTAATTAAGACAAATGCCATAAAGACAACAAATTAAGAAGCAGGTGTTACCTCTATGTGAATAAAAGAGAGTGAGAAGAAAAGGTGTTGTTGCAAAGTCAACAACCAGCAAGGGCAGAATATGACTGGCATATTGTTCTTGGGTGGAAAGACGATAAAGACCAAGACTATTTCCCTCAAACGAGCAATAAAAATAAGCCATTAATTTTCCCTTGCGGATGCGTTTAGAGTTGATGTTAGATGGAAGAGTAAAAACGCTATAAATCAGATACGATACATGAAAACTTGGTTGATTTATATGCCCAAAGGAGGGCAACAATCTTGTGAGCCAGAATTCCGGATGTAATTAAAAGTCGGCATTTCGTACCTTAAAAGTTCTGTTGCAGAGCGAACAGATCTCGATGAGAAGGGGGGAATCCACATGACACTGCTCGATCACCAATCGAAGGATCGCAGCATAGGCGTCTGTCACACCTTGCTAAAAACCCAAATTTAAGCAAAAAAATGCAAGTTTTCCTTAAACTGTTTTCCACACAGCTCAACGTGAATCCGACCACTCAAACTGAACACGCAAAAATAGGCTTGCCATTAACCAAATGCATATTCCTTTAATTTAGAGAGGTAAAATCTCTCAAGGGAAATTTTGGCAAGAAGCCTGGTAGTTAATGCAATAAGAAGTTTTCCGACCGTAGACTTAATAAGCCATGAAGGAAAGCGCACAAGCGCACTACCTTTTCGTGTCTACTTTTCTTTAATTACTTTGAAAAATAATCTAATCTTGAATGGTGTAGAAGTGCCTTAGAGTAGATTCATGATAAGAGGTACAATCATGGAATAATGACGAGTTACAACTAATTTAGGCCTTTCGAGCGATTCAAAACATGGCATTATTTTCTACATCACAATCAAATAGCGGTGATCTGATGACTTTATTTTGAGCAAATTGAGCGTCTTTTTACGTCAATTGGGGGCTAAAAGCGGGACACATGACTAGTCAAGAGAACTTTGCGTCCGTACTAAAAAAGCATCCATTATGTCTCCAAACAAGACATGCCCTCCAAAACAAATTCATTCAAACTAGCAAAAAAACCGATTTTCGTGAAGAAAAACATTCCACTTTCATTAATTAGATAGATTTGTACAGCCTATTTAAGTAAACTCTAAGTGGAAATGAAGATCAGTGAAAAATGGGTTAACCAAAAATAATTTATTTGAGGTGTAATACACTAGTTATTTGTTTGACTCCCGGTCTTGGTATAGGAGCCACTCGGGGTCTCCGCCACTTACCTTCGACGGGTGATCTAACTTTTGGGCCACCCTGGTAGCGCCAAGCCCTTTTGTACGTTAAACGCATATAAATATAGTCTTCTTCAGTATTATATTTTCTTTCAACTGTAAGAAAGTCTCGGGCGCCGCAAAAGGACTATCGGTTTTAAATGCAGAAATACATGTATGAATTTGCATTAAGGCCATTCGAAAAGTGAAGTTATGGAGTCCTGCTTCACTCCATCCCATTTGTTACTTATGATTAGATAAGTGCGTGCTCTTGTGCTTTCCCGAAAGAAATTGAGCCCCCAAAACTGACCAAAATTAATTGCAAGTAAAACCCACGGAACAACCTTGATAGTGGAATTAGTCGGTGCACGGAGGATGCAGATCATGGAACGAAGGGTTGAAGCAAGATTAGTCGGCAGAGGTCGAATTTGTGAGAGTTTGCGGAAAAATGTCTCAAATAGCGGCATCAGTTCCGCCCATCCGGAGGAAATGAAGTTATTCCACTTCTGCTCATCCGTCAGCCGCGGCAAATTCTCCAAATACGTGGCCACATTTTCGAGAATCGTGTTAAGCGTCTCGATAGGAAGGGACTTACGCTTGTTAAAGCTGTCCAGAGCCGAAATCAGAGGGTAGAAGAGAGACATATGATCCTCGAAGTTCACTAACACGGAAATGACCGCGCGAAAAAGGATTGGATCTAAAGATAAAACAAGAAATTTTGTGCGCAATTTATCTGAAGGGGAGGTCTTTAATCGTTTTTGAAGTCAAGTATGTCAACTGGTGTCAACTGCTCACGAATACAGACAAAGAGGATGGAACATGCTTCTAAATATCTGTTTTTAATTGTACCGAGAATGGAGCTACCGGAGCAAAAAATGGATGATTATTTAGGCCACCATTGGAACCAAACCCACCTTACCCAGTAGGGGGGAAAAAGAGAAACGTACATAATGACTATTTTGGGACAGATGAATCAAATCAACGCTAGACTTAGAACAAATTCACCAGACATGGAGTAATATAACTCGGATACTTCCAGAAACATTACCAAGAATGTGACACTAGACTGGTCCCTCTGGGCTAAAAATTGAAGCAAAATGCATTTTTCACCAATCCCCTGAGTTGTCAATAGCAGAAGTGGTTAAAGCTCATTTTACGTGGGCGAAATTTTTTAAAAAGGCAGATTTTAGGAAGGGACAAGTGCATTATCGTAAAGTCACGACCTCGACTGGATAAAGCACCGTGCGGGTATTATCAGGCATTCTTGAATTTTTGCAAGTTTGGGAGAAACAATTCCTAAAATGAATTCATGCGTACTTATGCTGAATGAGAACCAAAAATAATGGGCACTTCCACTTCTCTTAATACTAACACAGAGAGGAAATAGGTAATACAGGGTGGATTAAGTCATTTGGTAGATTTAATTCAAAGATTTACTTGTTAATAACCCTTCGTTTAGGGCAACTTGAAAAATATCTCCAAATTACTTATAGAAGTAACTCAGTTATGGGCCAAATTCAATGTGTTTCTAGTTGCAAGAGATAGCTTGCCTAAGGAATGTGACCATGCCACGGTGAAGCGTGCAGTCAGAAATGGAGGGGACGATTTTGATTGCATACCTTACCTAGCTGGGCACATTGCGATTTAGGTTTAAGTGTATGCACTCCTTGAACATACGCAGGTCCTCCTTCAACTTCACAACGCCTTTATCAGCAAACAAATTAGGTAAACTGATTACCATTAGGAATCTACCTTCCCCTAGTAAATGGAATCGCTCTTTAATTAAGCGCTAAAGCAGAGTGTTCTTGCCCGCACAAAATCATGAGTTGGTGACCAGTCAAATTCGATTGATACATTTATTCCAAACACCAAACAATCCATATAAGGTTGTGGCCTCACTTTAGATTTGATTTACGCACCTTTGTCCTACAATGGTAAATCAAAGTCGAGTCAAAAAAGTACTTGGGACATGCCAAATTTGCTCAGACCAGGGACGGAAAGCTAAAAACCATAAGCAAAAGACGTGAAAAATGTCATTAAATCGGGAACAAAGCCGCCAGCTTACTAAGGAAGAAAAATCATTTTAAGTCAATAAAGAGGTAACACAACATCAAACGAGGCTCTGCATCAAATTATCTGGTTCACCATTTGCTTGCTTATATTATTTGTTATTTGGTAAGTTCCTCAAACACTCTTAATTACCCCTTACCCCCAAGACCCCCCCAAACTAAAAGTTAAACGACTGAAGTCTATTAATTAATCCATATATCTGCTACTACTTGCAAGAATTGACGAAAGCTACAGCAGGTTGAAGTACTGTATTCAATAGTCAAGATGGAGATGACTTGTAAGTTCGGCATTGTTCTACTGTAACATCAAGGTACAAAAGAATAAGAGGATGAAATGGATCCAAATATCGGGAATTTATTATCACGGTAAGTATATACTGCATAAACTTTCAGCCAAGCATCGCTCGAGGAAAGTCAAAAGGAATAATCAAATCAGGTGATCATTTGGTTTATTCCATTTTCTTAACTGCTGCGTGAGAGTCACCAATGAGAATGGAGGCCACTCTGGTTCCCTTAGCTGCTAATCACATAGGCCTAGATCGCGATTTTTAATGTTTTAACCGGGACGAAGGAGCCAATCTTTTAGCGATGCAAAAAGCACTACTGTCAACGTGATGTTGAAAAAGCCTTGATCTTGTACAACAGGCACAGATTTTTTACAACGCAAAAGGCACCAAGTGAATGAGGTCGTTTGCTAATCAGTCCATTATTCTGGAATCAAATGTTAAACTTGTAGAATGGTAAAACTACTCCCGTGATCTGAGAGGTGACCGTCCACCTTAATTAGACATCGGAGAAGCCTATGATCCTGATGAATGAAGTCGGTTATTTTTTGGCACTTAACATAATTCGATGTATCACAGATTAGGGTTTGCGAGTTGCTCCACCGATGCATATTCACAACAGCCGCCATAAAATAACTCGAAGTTTTAAAACATTCATTGCTTTACGCTATCACCGACGTTACGACCAAAGTGAATAGTGATAGACCCATAAAAATTGTGTCCATGGCCATTTCATGAGGTATGCTGGGGCAGTGGTAATTGAGACTGATAGCGATTCTATTGAATAGACATTCACCACGCTTATGGGATAAACTTCCTCCCAAAATTCAATAATACCATATAAAAAGGTCATATTTTGTGCATAAAAGGGTCGTCTAAAAGCTGCTGCATTAAGCCTATCCCATAGATTACGGCAACTGTGTAAGCGGCTCTCACTCCAATTTAACTCTAGTGGGAAAGCAAGGAGAGTAGTAAAAAAGCATTGATATTAGTTAATGAAAAAAATTTTAGAGAAGCCAATCTCAACTGCAGACAGTTTGTTCATTTTGTACATTTGACAACAAAACATCACGCCAACCGGCTCCTATCTACTCATGAAACTCACCCGGTATAGGTGTTTGGAAGAGCTGGGTAAACAGTCCATTAGGCGCCAGATTGTATATTGTGCACCGCAGGAATTGCCGAGCTATGCTTGCGACGTTACCTGACACAATTACATTCGGCCTGGAAGAGGAGGACAAAAGGAATCTGCCTGCATCACTCGGGAAATGAGTTTGATGGAAAAATCCGGCGGCTCCAACACATTTCTACGAGTGAGACATAAACTCCGCTTTTTTCATTTCATAGAAAAAAAACAAACGATTATTTGATTTACTTTTTCCTACAGGTTTTTTGATACTGTGCGAACAAAAATAATTCATTAACTGTCAAAGATTATGCCTAAAACAACATTTCCGTCAGATAACAACTTTAATTGAATGTCCTTTCCACCAAGAAGTTGACTAAGGTCTTGACCACAAAGTTGTTAAAAAATTATTTCTTTTTGCTGACTACCCCCTTTAGTGGCATTAAATTTAGCATTTTTTTGCAAAGTGTCTTCATAAAGAGAATCATCTTGTAATTGGGGAGGCAAAAGAAGCTTCCCTTTAGTTTCTTGATCACGCATGACAGCCGTCACATAGGCTGGTCAAAAAACAATTTTATGATTGTCATGCACAGAGGTGACCCTTTAAAGCCAGACTGAAAAAGAGGTTTGTTGGAATTAACATCTAGTGCGAGAACGAGGGTGAACTTGTCTGGTCTGATGAATGTCGCCAAAGCAGTCCCTACGTTTCGGCTTCCTAGATGATGTCTGGTTAAATAAAAAATCAAAAATACTAATCTGCTTAGTCAAACTCGACAAGTCAAATTCCATCATTTAGAGCCCATGCTATTCTTCCACCTCTTAGATAAAATTTGGCTATCTTAAAAGTGGAAAAGCCCAACTCACTATCTGCGAGTAGCATTATACAGTGTTTTTGCCACCACATTATTCAAGTTTGCCCAAACATCCGAACCCCAATCAACTCTCACCCTTTTCCCTCCCGTAAAAACTTCATAAACCACGTCAATTTTAACTTAATGCCATAAATGACTTCAAAATGACAACCTTTAAACGAAAAGGTTGATGAAATTAATAGCTAGGAAAGGAAAACATTTAATGGACATAAAGCCGAATGCTCACAAGTAGAAAGTGTGTTAGTACCGCTAATCAGGCCTAATCAGGGTAAAATCCTCCTGTGTAACACGAAGAAGAGTAGGATAGTTGAAATGCACTAATAGATATCGCACTAATCAGAAGAAATAGCACAGCTGCAGAAGCTTGAATAAATTATTTGCGAAGTGATCTCGACATATCAGCTTATCTTAAGCGAGGGGACATTTAGCAACGCGCATGCTGTTTTTTAGTTGCAAAAAGGTAAAAAAACACTCACAAGGCCCTCTGCCACGTGTAGAGTGTGGTTGTGGCAATTCTAGCAGCCACCATAAGCATATCGATGAGAAAGGGAGCAGCCAGCCCAGGCTCTCTGTGTACAAAGGTGGCTAGACAGATAAGTCCCAGCCCAATGGTAGTCTCGTCGTGCGTCTCCAGCACCATCTGGCACCAGGGACACCGCTCAGTGCTGAGCATAGCCGTGGCGAGCACAGAAGCCATAGTGGAGGTCATTTCTCCACCCCCACCTCCACCGTAGGTCGAACGCGTGCGAAGAGAAGCTACACGACGCGAAGATCCGATTCCCCCTACTCGCGGAGTTCGGTGCAATCCGACGGAGTCCTCGAAGGAGAAGGCGGTCTGTGCTCGTAACTCGCTACTCCCGTTTTCATCATCCACCTCGAGAGCGCGGTTTAATGGTGGGCGTTCGCGAGTTTGAGATACGGTGAGCTTGATGGCGTCCCGCTGGAGGATTGGCGATGAGATGGACGCGTCTGCCTGGGGTTCTGTTAATGCGTGTGTTTTTCTTGATAAAAGAAAACAATGTTTTCCTTTGAATAGTGTTTGTAGGCCGCTTTTGCATTAAAAATCAAAAGCGAATACAAGAGTTAAAAATATCTTATAACAACCTTAAATGGATACACGCTAACAATTTTCTCCATCCAAAAATGGTAGAAATGTGTGACTAGAAAGTTCTTTGAGGTAAGACTTCTCTAACTTTGCTGGCCTTTAAAATGAAGTTGGTATTTGTTCATAAATAGGATACAGAAATTCACGAATAAAACGACAACTTAAAATTAAAACGACTTCTGTTGAGTCAGTTTAGCTTATTTAAGGATCGCATTCTAGACTGATCTCAGTGACTTCATTTATTTTACATAAGCTTTGTTAAGTAACCTTGAAAGTAAGTTCAAAGACTAAAATATATTCTTTAACACGGGGTCTTACGCAGCACGATTTCGAGTTGTCAAGGGTTCACCAAAATCACCAGATTTTGTATCTGCAATAGGAAAGTCACTTTCACGATGTAGTGGGATATACTTCTTTACTTAAAACAGGATGAGCTGTTAATTATGTGTAAAATAGAGGATCGCACTAAAAAGGTGGTATTTTGAAACTCACTGCAACAGTTTTGTGCAATCAAGGCGGATGATCCCATTGTCCTCTAATTATGATGTCTTTTTAATAATATCAAGCCTTTTAGATTCAGTAAGAGCTAACAACCGAGGGCAGGAGCCGAATATTGTTGAAATGAAGAGGATATTCAAAGAACTAAACTTATAGGGCAATCTAGATGTCGCCAATTAATTACATAAAGGGGATACTTCAAGCAAATATGAAAGAGAATGTTTTGAGCGGAATTTTCACAACTACAGATCATCGGAGCTACTCTCCTACATTCTTTTATTTAAGTCGCATCAGAAACATCACCACTGTCGCCATCAAGTACCCTTCTCTACAGGTCAGAAGATCTCAAACGTAGCTAAATTGGCGGCATATGTCGCTACAAAGTTCCAAAAACTACCCATTTGAATAATTTAGACCAAATTTAGTTAAGAGCTCTTCAGGCACAAAATATAGTTAAAAAGTGAAAAATAGATTACCCAGAGCTTCTAGTTTTCCAGACATCTCGTGAGTTTCCCCTTGCCCTTTCTTGTCAAATCCAGCATCAGACACCGTGGGCTAAAATATGGAGTTGCTTATTGGATTGGACGCAATATTTTAATAAAAAAATATAAAGGGTGAAAATGAGACATAAATGAATTCAATTTGCCGTATAACTAATGCACATGGGCTACGTCTAGAAAGCTGATCAAGTACAAAATTTTCTTAAGTGGAAAAGCAGAGTAAACATGAATACCTTAAAGACCGTTAGTTTTGCGCCCCTTTGAAAACCTTTGCTTCTTCAAACCAGATTATCTACTCAAAAGTGATAAAAAGTACTAGTGTTAAGTGAGTATAAATGATCATAAGACAATGTGTGGCAAAAATCCCAAGAGGAAATGTAGCAGTCTGCCGCAAATCCATTCAGTTTCTTTTATATGGGGGATTTTGATCCCATTTCAGATTAATCAAGATAAAAGGGAGCAAACTGCACTTGAACTTGATAAAACACTGGGAGAGGGAAGGAGCACCTTGTTTAAGTGCCACCGCACTCACCAAACGTTGAGTGTGTTCTCATCAGCGGGTATAACGATCGACTAAGGATGAAAACTTATCTGCATTGCACAATAAAACAAAAAGGATGAGGGCGATACCCCTTGAGCGCCTAATTAGCTGGAAAGTGCTCACCTAAAAATCGTGAAATTTTGAGAAAACTTGACTTCGGTGGTGAGAGTTAAGAAATCTGGAAATAAAGGCCTGCATGGTACCGCAATGGCATGTAGTAGTAGGCGACAACGAAAACAATGAAATATATTTGATAAAAGTCTATCCATCCATTTGATAGCGCATCTGGAGCTACTCCAAATTCTAACTTGTAACGCAGATTTCGAATACAATTAATAAGTCACGGTAAACAAGAAAAACCAGATTTCAGTAGGGTTTAAATCTCAGAAGTGGAATATGCGCCAACTCACGCAGATTACAAATGATATATTTACATTGCCCTACGAAACCGCCACCATCTACAGAATACTTTATTATTTTTTCCTCGTAACAAGATTAGAGCTAGATGTATAACATGCGCATTCAAAATCAGGCGCTATGGTGGTGTAATTTCTGATACAGTAGAGTCAAGAGACTTTAACCGTTACGTTCAGCACTTTTCACGCATTCCGCGTCGTAAGCGCACGTTCAGGCGCGGGTACCTTAAACTCTGACATTCAATTACCACAGAGGAAATCCCTTCAAAGGAGAGGTTTTTAACAAAAAAATAAACCAGCTCCAATTTTCGCCCTTTATCTGCAGAGAGGGATACGCCTTTATGCATGTGCACCAATGTATTTTAAGACTGCACTGTATTCGAAGAGAACTCTCAACACGTCCCTGTCCAGAAGCAGACACACTTTAGCACCCTCGGATACGCCATCAGCACTCGCGCACCTGGAACAATTCTCAGCGTTGGCATGTCACGAAAAAAGTAGCCAAAATAAGTGGCATTCATACTGACAACCCTACTTCCACTTCTGAGCAGAGCATTAATTATCTCAAATAATAAAAAACAGCCTGCTACG